TCTCTCTCTCTCTCTCCCTCTCTCCCCCCTCTCTCTCTCCCTCTCTCTCTCTCTCTCTCTCTCTCTCTTTCTCTCTCTCTATCATTTTCCAAATGACCACGTAAATATTTTGTCATCAATTAAAAAAGATTTGTGCATTAATGCGCAGAACTATACATCAAACTTCCAACTGAACTTTATAAAGCATACCATATCTCAAAATTTTTTTTCAAAAATAATTTATTTTGTTACAGTGTCGGCGCCACCAAGCACTAGTCCAAGTCCTTCTACCACAGAAATGCCTAAAAAAGGTGAGTTGTTAAATATAGTGTTAAAATATTACTACACGTATTCACGATAACTAAATACAAATCGCGTCTGATTTGATAAATAGCTATATGAATAAGCCAAAGTAATGAAATTATGATTTTTATCGTAAGATTTGATAATTCTATACAATACGATTAATATTATCTCAATTGAGTGTGCCATTTAGTTATGTATATATGTGCGCATGTATGCGTGTATGTGTATGAATTGCGTCGTACTTGGCCGCTTGAATCTAATTTTCCAATGTACGTTTACTTTAGCAGATTGGGAATTGATGGCGGAGATGAATAACTCTGTTTACGGAAATCCAAGTTCGCTGACAATTCATAACGAGAGGAATATCAAGACAGGTGAGTGGATCTGTAACATATCGTGTATCTATTTTTGCTTTTTTTATTTTATGCTGCGGAATGTATCTCTGCAATCCCATGAATTACGAGGATTGACTTCGCAATTTAGTATTTCAACGAGATAGTTCAGTCGCCGGCTGTCGCGCGGGTACATATACGAAGAGTATCAGGCACTTGAGATACACATTTAAGGGAAGTATTCTCTTCGATCTTGATCTCTGTTCGCATCAATCATTCAGACCTTTCTCGCGGAGCACATTCGGAAAAAGTAGACGGGAACGCTGAGACAGGGAACAGAATTTGGAAACGACATAATGTCGGAAGTGATAAAAAGAGAAATCTATCAACTACGAGAACATTATCGGAGAGAGATAGAGAGAACTACGAATAACTTATTAATGCAAATTGTACCATCAATAACACGCCAAATTCGTCGCATATCGGAATCGCGTGAACTTTTGTTTCAACTTCCGTATTACATATTTATGTATATATTATTAATACTTAGAAAGAAATCTTGCATATAGGGAATGTACGAAGGAAATTCAGAAATTTCAGCTTTAGCTCGTGTACCCCATAGCCTAGTAAAATCTCAACTAGTTAATGGACTTGCGTACTCGATTCGACATCGTGTACAATCAAACGGCGCCCCGTAACTGCATTTTCCTGTGACACACTTTGAATCTCCGGCGATTAACTTCGATGTTAACTAGAGCCGGGGGACCCACCCGGGAAACCCGGGAATCGATTGCGGCTTTAAGAGTGGTTTGAAAGGTAAGCAGCCAGCTTTAAGCTCTCTAACGGTATGAAAGAGAATTACGAAAATAATGTCTGTGACGAGATAACAATCGGAATTTTGAAAGTTAATTTCTCCTTCGCGACACGTGATTATATGTATCATCGCGTATATATAATATAAGAAATTGTAATACATATTATATATTCACAATTTGATAAGACAAATCGCGTCAGTGATGACATGTAATTTTCCGATAATTTTTAATATGAGAAAATTAAAATTAAAAAGAGAGATGTGCAAACTTCAACTCGGGTGAGGAATGTCATTTTCTTTTCATTACTTCATCAGCAATAGATAACATAATGAAAAAGAAAAAAGAAGACAAATGTTGGAATATTACAACTGCAAATTTCAATTATATTATTATATAATTATGATTGAAATATATATATATATATATATATATATATATATATATATATATATATATGGAATAGAGCTAGAGTGCTAGTATTTTACATGTTTGTTTAAAAATATGCGGAATTCTCCCATCGATCATCGAGCACAGATCATTTGTCACGTGTATGTGATTAGGTATATAAATAGTACAGTTAGAGAAACCGAAATGCAAAGGTGTAAAGTCCGCCGAGATCCGTTAGACTATCCGATTAGTCTGATCTGGAACAGACTCAAAATGTATAGACATGAGGGGAAAAGAAGGATTCAATGTAATCGTATTAATTTAAACTTTATTTGAAAAATAAACACACGATTCCCTGTTCAAAAAGCTTAGAGAGAGAATCAATGGGAAATGAAAGGACACACAAAAAACGAATGTATCAGAGTAATTGTAAAAGCAATGCTGGGGACATATGGATGATAGAATACGTGAAAGAGAGAAAAGGATAGTTACATAATTAGATACAGATAAAAAGTAAGGAAAAAAGAAGAAGGGAGAGAGAAAAGAGAGGGGGAGGGGAGAGAGAGAGAGAAGAGAGAGAAGCCGAAGAACATAGTTGACTCGGGTAGAAGAGATCCCTGTAACATCAATATTTCATGTATGCTAATACGCCGGAACTAATAATGCTGCGGCGTGGAAGACCCAAGAATAATATCAACCGCGCCGTTGTAGCTCGCGTTCTCTCGCTCTCTCTCTCTCACACACATACACATACTTTCTCTCTCTCTCTCTCTCTCTCTCTGTCTCTCTGTCTCTCTGACTCCTTCGTCCTCTCCTCGTCTCCCATCTCCCTCGTCTTTATTTCTTTCTTTGTCCTTCGCTTTACTCTCTATCACCTAAAACAGCGACGTGCACAGCGCCCCTATCCTCTTGTGCCTTGTGTTAAATTTAATCGAAAATTCGTGTCTCGTTGGACCACCGCTGCTTCCGTGTCTACGTGTCTCCGTTCTCCTCCTCTGCCACCCTTTCTTTTACATATAACCTATGTCATCGTCCGGGAGTGGAAAGGTGAGAGCGAAAAGATGAAATCGAGAGAAGGGGAAGAACAGGGGAGCGGCAGTGGGATGTGGTAAGTTTGAATACAGCATATATCTCTTCCTCCTCCCTCCTCCCCCCCTCTCTCTCTCTCTCTCTTTCTCTCTTGCTCTTCCCTCTATTCACGAAGTCTGGAGAGCAGGAAAGGACAGGCTGCGAAGGAAGGATGAGGTTTGTAATTGGTGCAACATCTGCGGTCTGCAGGATGGCATTAATGTTTGCTCCCCTCGTGCTCTCTCCCTTGTCTATTCCTCTTCTTCTTTCTCCCATTTTCTCCAGCCGCCCCTACCCGCCCCTGTATTTCCATCGACTCCGAGAATCGCTGTTTTTCTCTTATCACGTTGTTCCTTTTTCTCTACTCTTTATCCTTTCGTTTAACTGCGTTTGTATGCATTTCTTTTATTTCCTTGAGCACTTTATTTTTATGTCATCTTCATTCTCTACTATGTTGCTTGACTAATTTTCTTTTGGTTCGTCGATTTTATATTCTTTTTCACCTTCACTATAGAATACTTGTTGCGATTTTAAATTATTTCTTTTATTGTACGTGTACATGTTTCCCACATAATTTATGATAAATGAGGGAAAAAGGCACAGTTTGCGAAGAAATCGCTCTGATGAGTTGGGGGAACGAAATAACCCAGGGATCTGAGCCTTGTCTTGTTAAAGTGTCTTATTAAAGATACATTTTATTATATAATTACACGAGTAATGAGAATAAAATAACTTTTTATTTGCAACCACAGTGAAAAAATTTACCAAAAAATTTTCTTTTCGCGCTGTTTGTATCTCAGCGTTGAAGATACAAAGACTTGCTGTACAAAAAATTGATGTTAAAGTGAAACAATATCATTTAGAAACGCAAGAAAATTATTATAAAGAGATATTAATATATCGCCAGTCTTTTCTGATTTTTTTTATACCACCTCATTCGTTAAAATTATATTCATAAAGGTTACAAGTTTCAAGTAGCAAGGGATTTTACAAACGATGCACGGATTTTAATCGTCGCTTTTGTTCGTTATAAAATATTTCCGCCAGCATTTTACCCAACGTCCAGTCAAATCGATTTCTTCATGAGAGCTTTCGAAAGTGCTTAGCTCGCATGTATTGAAATCATTCGTTTCAGTAACTTCTCCTCGGCTATATCGCCAATCGCGACTCAGCTAGAACCGTAACGTACAATATGTTTAATTCATACACGCACCGACATTAAACCGTCGCTTGTAAAAGTGTTTGTCCATTTCCCTTTCCATTTCCCCGTGTTTCCCTTTTCCTTTTAACTCGCGCTGCACACTTCGCGACTGCAAATTGTAGGAGCAAACGTATATAGCCTACGGCGATAAGTCACTTTGAGGTTCCGATGGGGAACAGAGCAAGTATTGTCGCGGTATCGTGACATCTCCCGGAACACATATGCCTTTAGGTGTCGCTTAATTCCCTCGGGCAGCGTTGTCCGCCTGTAATTCTGGGGGAGCATGTATAGCGATTGGTTTAGCCGCGTGCCTTCGTACGATTAACACGTCTCCTGTTCTATTGCAAGCGCGCACGCCTGCGCGCGTCAATTACGCCAATAACAAAGGAATAAGGATATAAAAATGCCATTTGACTATATATTTTCACATATATGTATTACTGTTCGCATATAACAACGTAAAAGCGATGACAGATAGATGACATGTTTATGATTAGTCTTTATTAAACTTGCGTGCATTTCATTATTTATTTATTTAAATTAAAATAATCAGTTCGTGAATATTGGACTTTTTTTAAATTACGTTAAATAAGCTTGTTTACATTTACAAAGATCCGGTTTTTTCTTCATAATAGTGTAAAAGTGAAATATTTGATTTACAGCGATCTAATGTTTATATCGCATTGTCGAAACGTAATATCAGTGTTCTTAGATTATCACCAGACCCCCTGGGTTCCCTATCGATAGTTGCGGAACTTTACGTAAGATCGACGATCCTTAATAATACCTCGTTGTTAATGTGATCTAACACAGCATCACCCTGTAAGTCCCGGCCATGTACTTGACGTTTAATGCAAAGCATCTCCGATATTAATCTATTACGATAAGAGGATTCACGGTCAAGAACCCGTACGTTGTTCCAATCAAATTCATGATTCTCATTAATACTGTGATAACCGTAATCACTAAATATTGCGAGCTCTTCAATCTAATGTAGTTTCAATGTTGCACTTAACAAATATAATCTTATTCTTATCGGAATCCTCTTATATTATAGCCTCAAGGAAATTCTTCTAAAACCAAAAAAAATTTTCTGACACTCAAAAAAGAAGGTTGCAAAGTACTATTTTCTGCAATTCCATATTCTAAGCAGAAACTTTTATTCAAAAAATATTTCTCTTCTAATAAAGAGGAATAATATTGTCTTAAATATTTTTCTTATGGTTTTAGAAGAATACACTTGAGGCTACATATAAGAGGATTCCACTAAACATGATATAACTTTTTAGTGAGTAAGGAAAATTCTAATCTTAAATGTCTTATTAGCCTGATTTAGATCGATTTAGATAGAATCTGGAAAGATTGCAATTTTAACGATTGATTTTGTACAACTAGTAAGACGGGAGAGACTGAGGATTTTTATGCGACTTAAACATCGATGACCAACTTTAAATTCTCTCGATGATATCTGAGATGGAACAGGAGAAACACTCCATCAATGAAATTGACGAGGGAGTCTCTTGTCTGACGGAAAACTGCTGAAAGAAAAACTTCAAATATCTTTCTGAAAATTGTCAGTTTATAATGTCAATTAAACTCGATACAACCATGTCGCCAATCATTGATGAGAGAAGTTTAAGCGACGAAATAAATAACAATTTTTATTATAAATTGAAATCTCAGATAGAAAAAGTTGAAGTTATTAAGGACTCTTAAGCATCAAGGAAGAAATAACCGATGCAGTATTACCAATGTTTCAAATATAAAGGGGAAGATGTATCGATAATCCCTCGAGTATCATCCAAACCAGATCTTGCAATATCTGCTATAACCAATGGCAGAAGAGCACACACCGAAGTGTGCCAATTATTCCAAGTTCCAATTCGTAATAGTAAAAGAACTAAAACGTGACTCACTGATCTCATAGCAGTTAAAGTGTATCAAAGTATGTTGATTGGGGAGACACACCGGGTCTAGTTAACTCAAAGAGTACCTGTTTTTTGGCAGCTGATTGGCTATCTGCTTTGTTTATGAATTTATCGTGAGGAGAAAAATCTAAATTGTGGAACATTTCTTTTAAAACATAGATATTTTTCCTTAAGTTTCACTAAAAATTAGATTTAGATTCATATTACAGTTGAGAAATAGAAAGAACTGATTTAGAAGCAGCGCCAAATACATTTTCCAGCGTCTCGAATTTCTGTATTAATATTCCTTATTATAAGTGAGTAACTTAAGTGACCTTATTAATTAGAAAAAATTTGCTGGAAATGTATGATACACTCTCTGTTTCGGGTAATAAAAAGAATTTTTATTCATAAAATTCATAGGTACTTTTCCTTAAGTTTCACTAAAAATTAGATTTAGATTCATATTACAGTTGAGAAATAGAAAGAACTGATTTAGAAGCAGCGCCAAATACATTTTCCAGCGTCTCGAATTTCTGTATTAATATTCCTTATTATAAGTGAGTAACTTAAGTGATCTTAATTAGAAAAAATTTGCTGGAAGTGTATGATACACTCTCTGTTTCGGATAATAAAAAAAATTTTCATTCATAAAATTATTGAAATCGATTATATAAATGGACGAAAAATTAGCCCGTAGTTAAAGGGACTGGAAGGTCAGATACCTGAAAATCGTGCTTATTTTTTCACAATTTTTTATGACAAATTAAATGAATATGCGAAAATGTTATTTTGACGTGTATTTATACAACATATAAAGAGAAAAAAATATAATTTTGATAATCAAATATAAGTGTATGGTACATACACTTAAAATATATTTCGTTTTTCTTTTTAAGGTTGTCATTTTGCAGTAATATCTTGACTCTCAGTAGTTTAATTGAGCTGAATTTTAGGTAGAAAATTTCCGTAAGCTTGTCGTTATCGTGTGAACCACTAACAAACTTGTAAAAATATTTAAATTTGAAATATTAATTTTTTTACTATAAAAGAACTGAAAATTTAATAATATTCAGATTATTATTTAAGATATTTGCAATTTTGTTAACTTTTACTCAATTTCTATTAAAGTGATTTATACGATAACGACAAGCTTGCGGAAATTTTCTGCCTAAAATTCAGCTTAATTGAAGCACCGAGAGTCAAGATATTACTGCAAAATGATAACCTTCAAAAGAAAAACAAAATATATTTTAACTACATGTATCATTCACTTATATTATGTATTTGATCATCAAAATTATATTTTTCTTCTCTTTATATGTTGTATAAATACACATCAAAATAATACTTTCAGTTCTTTCGCATATCATCGCATATATTCAGTTTGCATATTCTTTCAGTTTGTCACAAAAAATTGTAAAAGAACAAGCACGATTTTCAGGCAATCTGACTCTCCAGTTCCCTTAAGGACCGGCAAAAAGGGCTGTGAAAACTTCTCGCGGAGATTCTGGAACTACTAATCGAGATACATATTTTATATATATGGCCTTACTTTGAGCTACTAGTCAATTTGATTCAGGCAAGATAGCTACGTTGCAGTAGCCCGTATTTCAATTATTGCAGAAGAAAATATACGGTTTACAGGATCATTGCTAGTATAAACATACAGAGAAATCTTTATTACGTTTGTACAATTAATCACGACAATTAGTTACCTGAGAAATTTTATTATAACTTTAAAAATCTGCAAAATGTAGCATCTTGCCCGGATCTATTCCACTCATTGAATTATGGTCACAATAAAATTACAATGGAAATATTCATGAACGGCAAGATATTAATGAAATCAATCAAATGTATTTATCTCTTTTCAAATAGGACAATTTATCGCCAAGATAAACATAAAGATATGTGATTAAACACGTTCTTACAAACAATTTCATGCAGATTTTAAATTTTAGAGTTCAGCATTTATCCTTGACTAGCTTAAACTACCAGATGTGTTATCACTAGAGATGTGCCAGATAGTGAATTTGCTGGATATCCGGATACCGGATAATCCGGCATTTATTGTTACCGAATAACCGGATAACCAGATATTATCCGGCAATTACAAAAAATCAAAATTCAATTGTTTTTTACAATAAAAGAGAATGGCAAATTAGAAATTAGAATACAATTAATTTAAATAAAATGGACTGTGATATAATTAAATAAATATAATCGACTAAATTTAATCTTAATCTCAATTCTTAATCTCCAATGTTTATTTTGATACAGAAAAAAAAGTTATTAATTAATATTTTAATAAATTTAGAATATTTCAGAATTCTAGAGCGCACGCGCACGCCTTTACTAACACGTGAATATATAGGGTGTTAATTAAGTATATTGCCATACTCAACAGAGCGATTCTTTGGTTTATTTCAAGTAAAAAAGTTCATATAAACATGTGTCCTAAACGACTTAATTTACGAAATAAAAAAATTTAAACGTGTAGTAATAATCTGTTTCGTTTAGAACAGCTTCCTCTGATTAGTACTGATGTTCTAACTGTCATAAGCTTTCCAAAATTAACAGTGTTCCTTACAAAAGAACCCTTTTCTCGAAGATAGCGGTGAATATTCGCAAATGTTTTATGACATGGTAAATTGCATTGGGGATATCTTTCTGCATAAATACACCTTGCCTCACGTGAGTTACCATATACAAAACCGTAGGCAAAGTGCATATCTGCCACTTCAAAATTTGTAAACTTAGGCATGATGAAACCGATTTTGATGGACTGAAACAATTTGGCCCGAAAACGTATGCACAAGCTAACCGACCCGCAGCAACATCAGAACTGAAGTCTATTTTTGATTTTATGACTTTGACTTTGACTTTATCACTTTGTTTACGGTCGTGCGAATGGTAACTCACGTGAAGCAAGGCATATTTATGCAGGAAAATATCTCCAATGCAATTTACCGTTTCGTCAAACATTTGCGGACATTCACCTGTATTTCGGAAACTAAGCCGTTTAGGACACATGTTTATATGAACTTTTTTACTTGAAATAAACTAAAGAATCGCTCTGTTGAGTATGGCAACATACTTAACTAACACCCTGTATAATAAAGTATATATTATATTTTCTTGTATAACAAACAATACCAAAATTAAAATCTGTATCAGATTATGACAGGAGCGGTTCAATTGAACACCGTTACACAACACTTATACATAACTAATCAAATTTAGTTTGATTGACTTAGATTTAATTTGAAGAATTTTATTGATCTGTATCCAAGTGATCCGTGTCAAAATAATATACACCTGAATGTGGCAATTGAAATGGATTAAAATTAAAATTATTTAATTAATCAAATCAAATTTTCTACTCGCAATTTTCCTTCTCCAATGTATAGCTTTATACTAATGTTTAGGCTAATATTGCATGTGTCAGGATATTATTTTACGTATCGTATGACAAACTTGTCAGATAATTAAATTTTTATTTAAATTAAACATTTGGAAAAAATTTAGTTAGATTGGTTAGACGTATAAAAATATCTTGAGAAAATCTATTTCATCAGGCTAAATTAATTAAATATTTTTATCATTTTATTGTAGTATATCTTATATACTACAAGTTATTAATTTTAGTACTCATTACATTTGAAAAATTAAAATTTTAAATATGGTTATTATAATATATTATTATATCGAATTGTGGAAAAACGATTCTTTTTGTATCCGGCCTATCCGGCCAGGTAGTTAATTGTAAAAAAAGGGGCCGAATAGGCCGGATACCGGAAAGTTGTCGGATATCCGGCATATCTCTAGTTATCACAAAATAAGAGATAAAATCAAGAAACAGGGGTGAAGTGTTCAGGTTCCATGATAGTCTATATTTTCCGCAAAGTCCTAGAGAGTAACTATGCAAAACTTGGTCGGTCAAAAGATTTAGGAACTAATAGAATAGACAGAGAACATTCTATTTTATTTATTCTCGATATAAGAAAATCATTTAGAGTTTTTGTCATACAGCCTTCTTACACTCGATTAAAAGATTTATATTAAACTTATATTTTTGAGTCATTCAATGAAGAAACAACTACAATGTAACACTCAAAACTAACGTCAAGTCAGTAATATTCCCAATTGGAAACATTGGCATACCCAAAGAATTGAACAAAAGTTTCGTCTGTACCTCCTTTTGTTCAGGCATTTTTATATTTTAACAGCTTGCGCTCAAGCGTACTCTCCCGCGATCTTTCCTTTCCTTGAAAATTTACCCGCGCACGTTGCTGTCGCAAACAACCCACCTCATCGGGTGCTCCAAACTAGACAGGGAGGCTTACATACCGGGAACTCGCACACGCGTTGAAGCAGCAGCGCCTAGTTTATGTCTAGTTCCTAAACACATCGTCGCCCACGCACAGCTATAGAGAAACAGCGCCGCGCATCGCGATAGAGATTCCCGCATATAGGAAACTATAGAACCGGCCCGGCGGGCTCGCACGTATGCACGTACATACGTGTATAGCGCCATGATACACACAATGTCACTGCTAATGTTTGGTCGAGATTTGCATACGTCTGTCTAGCCTATCCACTGCGTCGCCGTACGGTGTCTCACCTCGTTGTTCGAGGGTGTATCCGGCGAGGCGACGGCGGCAGCGGCGGCGGCGACCTTACTCCGGTATCAAGCTCTGGTATTATACACACGAGCGTGTGTACATACACGCGACCTACGGTGCGCAAGCGTGCGACCTCGTGCTCGCGCGCGCGTACACCCTCATGATCGCCCATTACCTCGCCGAAATAGGCTATCGTGCCAAGATCGTGTTCCCCGGCACTGCTTACAACCTTGCCTTGCTCCCTGCCCAAACCCACTGCTCCGCCTCGGGGCTGCCGTGAACTTACAAATCTAATCAGGAGAGAACGAAGACACAAAGCGGTATATTCAAGCACCTTGCTCTGTGGATACCCTAAAATTAAGCCATAAGTACGTAGGTTGTCGGTCCGCGGCTTACACCGCCTGTTAAACGCGCCGTTAACGCGCGCTTCCACGTGTGTGTCAGCGGAAGTTTAGTCTGTCTCCCATTGCCCATTGCTGTCCGTGAGTCCCGCGCGCCTGCACGGATATCCTTTGGAAAAAATCGTGAAACGCCGATGACGCGACGCGATCAGTGATAATCTCTCGACGGGTGATGGAAAACACGCGCGGCTCTATGTCGATTGTACATTGCGGTTGCGAGGTATCGACGTCGTAATGCGATTCTGATAAGTAATAGCACGACTTAGCAAGCACGTACGCCACCATATGTCGCATGTGCATGACGTGCCGATTCTCACATGAGACGGACGTCATGTATGTACGAAACGACGATCATTTTTCATTCCGTGGTATGCACATAAAATATAAGCGTGAAGTTCGTTTTACACGGTAGCATAAGCCAAAGATGTAGGGTGATTGATGGCCGATGATTTCCCAGAAAGTACTGATTAAAAACCACGTGAGAATTGATAAGATTATCTTGTTGCCGTTATTAGCATCGCACCGCGTCAAGTTCCTTTTAGATGTCGAAATGCATGGCGAACATATATGTGATAACGCGATAAGTTCACATGTAGAGGATCTCATTCCATAATTTTATCAAAACATGCTCGTCATGAACTGTTCCATTGCAAGTATGTAATTCAAACTGGCAAGGCTCGCGACAAGCGTGTGTCGTGACATGATAGAATCTACTTCGTACGGATAAGGGAATTGTGTTTACTCGGAGTTTGCATACTAGTTGACGCGTTTGCCACCCACTTTATGCGTAACAGGTTCGTAAACATCTTCAGTTGAGAGGGCCACTCGTTGCACGTCCCTTTGTCCGTTGGTGCTGCTATGTGAAACACGCAGTGCTTTCGCTCCTTCCGTTCCCTCAGATCTACCGTCTCCGCCGTTTCACCGGCGGCTTTGCGCGCGGTCTTGACGTGAGATTTGATTCTTCATAATTGTTTCTATAACATACGAGAAATAACAAACCGTTGGTCAATTCGCGTTGAATTTTTCTATATGTCTAGAACCTTTTTTATTAAGAATATTCTTATATTTTTTTGGATTATCGTATTCATGGGCGTTTAATAAATCTCTTATCGATATTTTGAGTTTCCATAATATGGGGAAATATTTAATCTATTTCCCACGTTGATGCCGCATCCTTCATAGATTCTTTTCGGATATTTCGTGAACATTCCAGTTCACTTCTTTAAGAATCTTCTTCAGTAGAGTCTAAAATCTGTTTCATGTCGTTCTTCTATTGAAAAAGTCTCCTAAGGAAATGGACTGTTCGCAAAACATCGAAAACAAATTCATGAAGGACATGGCACTTGTCCCAGAAGTCAGATCAAGCAAACATGTCGATATATAATATTTCTCACCTTCGTCTTTGATTCTTTTCTTTTTAGGTACCAAGTTTCAATCGAACCTCAATGAAATCGGAAAATCGGAGCAGAAGTCGGCTGAGATGGACCGAAAAAAGAATTACAACTGGCCTCCAGAGAAAGGTGAGTTTAATATAAAGTAACATTGAAAACATTGGTTGTATATGTGTAAATACTAGTTAGACAGGATGTTATATTAACCCTTATATAGTAAACATGTCCTTTCTTAATATATCACACTAGAGTCGTTTTCGCTTTTTCTTATTCCGTAAACCTGCTAATCTGTAAAAAGTAATAAATATATTTAAATAACTGCAAAATATATAATTATATGCACAGAAATGATCGCGAATATTCCCTAAAGTATCATTGCATTTATAAATAGAAACGTGATGAAAACGAGAGTTTACATAAAAATTTGTACCTTTTCCGAAAATGAATTGAAAAAATTGATACTCTAGGATTTTCTTGATATTTAAATCTTTAAGAAAAAAGTATTACATATCTCAATTTATCGAAATATAATATTATGTAGGTGTTCGAAAATATATCAATCTTTTGGTGAAGAGACGAATAAAACCATTAACTGTTTCGAGTTTCTGAAGTATCAATCTACTATAATCTATTATAATGTATATTATAATATAAATTATAATGTTAAAATAATATATTAAAATTATGACATATCAATCTATTATATATAATGCCGATTTTATTAAAATTATTACAAAAATTAGTTGTATTTGAATCTTTCTTTTTTGTTCGTGATTAGAGTTTAACGATACAGAAACCTTGATTACGCATAAAGATAGAGTGTCCCATAAATTCGATCTTTGCAACGTTCATGGGAACGTAAAATGGATTCAGGCCAACATAAAAGTCCCATACCATCTTACAATATTCGCAATAAATCTAGAGATATTACTTAGAGAAAATTGAATGATTACGCGCGATATAGTAGATGAGTTGTAGTGGCGATGTAATGTGCTGTAATGTGCTTGTATATTAGGTCAAACTAAATAAAAATATCCTTTATTCTTTTGCAAATGATCCCGTAAATTTTTAATTATTAATGAAAGAAAATTATTACATAATTGTGCGCGATAATGCAAAAGGATAAAGAACATTTTGTTCAATTTGATCTACTGTACAAGTATATGCAACGATAGACGACGCCACTACAGCTCATCTACCATATCGCGCGTGATTATTTATCAATCTTTTTTAATTAATATCTCAAGATTTACTGCAAACATCGCAAAACGACGTGAGATTCACCACAATCCGTTCTATGTCCTCACAAACGCTTCGTCGACTGTTCTTGGATACCTTGCATAAACGGAGTCCCAGACTCTCCTCCACAGATTTTGTGAGAACGTAAAATGGATTGAGATGAACATAAAAGTCATACCTTTTTGCGATATTTGCAATAAATCTCAAGATATTAATTGAAGAAGGTTTGTAAATGATCATGCGCGATATGATAGATTAGCTGCAGTGACGTCGTCTGCCGTTGTATACTTATATATTAGGTCAAACTGAACAAAAAAGTCCTCTACCATTTTACAAATAATCACATAGATTTTTAGATATTAATTAAAGAAAATTTGTGCATTATAGTACATAATCATGTAATAATTTTTTTTATTAATAACTAAAAATCTAGGACGTAGTTATTTGCGAAATAATAAAGAGTTTTTTCGTTCAATTTGACCTTATGTACAAACACACAATAACATATATCGCAATTATAGTTTCACTATCATATCGCGCGTGATCATTCACCAATTTTCTTTAATTAATATTTCAACTATTATTGCGAATATTGCAAAACGGTGTAGGACTTTTATGTTCACCTCAACTTGTTCTACATTTCCACAAAATATACGGAGGAGAGTGGGACATTCTTTATACAGGATATCCCAGAACAATCTACGAAGTTCTTGTGAGAACGTATGGACATAAAAGTTCTATACCGTTTTGCGATATTCGTAATAATAACCGAGAAATTAATTGCAAAAGATTAAGGAACAGCGTGTGTTGAATAGTAGAGGACGGAGCGCTCGAGCCGCAGCGTGGACCCAGTAATATAGCACGCGGATGCGGTGCGCGATGATTGGAAAAATATTGCGCAAATACCTGTGCTTAGCCAGCGTGCGCGGGTTAGAAATCGCATCACTGAATATAAACCCAGAGAGATTTTTCCTTAATTTTTCACAATTAATTTCTCGATTATTATTGCGAATATAGTAAAACGATGTAGGACTTTTATATTCACCTCGATCTGTTCTCACGAGAGCTTCGTAGGTTGTTCTGGGACACCTATTATGTATATACAGGGTGTCCCATTTTTAAAGATGCACTCTGATGATTCTTCAGCCAAACATATTCAGCAAAAGTGTTTCAGACAAAAGATATATGGTTCGATGGAGGACATAAGAAGGTACCATTCGTTTGACCTTGCGTGGCACCGCCAACGTCAAGTCGAGTCAACTTTGCTTTTTTAAATAGAAACATATATTTTTTTATTGCGAAATTTTATTCTATGTAAAGAAACAAACAACTTTTGTTTGAAAATATCTTTTATACGACCTCTATTTTTTAAGATATTTACGGAAATATCTACAAAATTATTGGTTTCAATAATTTTTTACTCGAATTCTATCAACTTTACCGAAAAATAGCAAGAAATATAAATTGTTTATTTTTCCTCGTAGAGCTCTGGAAATTTTCTCAGAATTGTTTAATTAACTTTTTAGTACTTCAAAAAAATGCAGTACTAAAAAAAGAATTATTAGGGAGCATCTTTTAAAAGGGAACACCCTGTATATATTCAGAAATAAATAAACTACTCACATGAAACTTTTCTTATATATATTATATTTAATATAAACAATTAAAATATATGGAAAATTATTTTTATTTTACACTTGGACATCTTAATTTAACAAATTGCAATTAAAAACGACCTCCGCAACAATTTTGTTTTCTTGTTAAATAATAAGCAATTGAAATACCTTAATAGTGCTTAAACCTCACATTCTCACTGACTATAACCTTTTAGTGCACAAACCAAAAGTTCTCATTCCATTAGTTTGCAAGTAACATAAAATTAAAAATCAGATGAGAGCAAAATGACACTAGTGTGCTAGATTAGAGTTAATCTTTATTTTTCTTTTTATTTTATCCCAATTTTCCGAACTAACAGTTATTTTAACTCCTAAAAGGCGAGAAATATCATATAGTACCCCTTTTTTCGAAAATCAAATTGTATCAATCGAATTGAATTAAAATCCTTACATATGTTTTTGCTAATCATAAATCTGAGGTCAGAATTTTAAAATTCAAAATGGCAAATCCAATGTAGCAACTGAAATCGGAATTATGTCGGCATTTAATATGCGGTAATTTTATAATTCTGATTTTAGATTAGTAATTAATCACTTCAAAAACATATTTTAATATAAACATATACACATTTTATACATATGTTAATATATATAAAATATTTTAAATTGTCTGAGGAATATCGAAAATCATTATTTTTAATCTTCATATTAGATCTGCCCTTTTTAATTTTGTAATTCTGATCTTCAGAACCAGTAACTCCATGCAACCTGCATTACTTAATATAAGTATAATAGCGGACATTATTTTTGTACACATTTATAATTGGCTTAAAGCTATAAAATTTTCACTGTTGCATCTGCTATTTTGAGTTTATAATCTCAGATTTGTGATCAAACCACGCGTACGAATTTTTAAAAAATGTTATCAAAAAAGAACTTCCTCATCCTTCTCCCATCTTTTTGTAGCAAGATGACGTATTAATAACATATTAACATAAGTAACATTTCAACGTCATGCGTGACGGTACGTGATGTCTTTAGACGTCATGCTGCTACCTGAGTTAAGAGTTAAAGGAGAACGAAACGAATTTTTCAAGGAGATACTTTATATATCCAGCGTAATTTTGCTCCGCGTACTGTCCGATATGGATAATCGGACAAAATATGCGACGCGCCAGACACATGAGACGCGCGTTGAACAATGCGCGGCCTGTGTCCATTACCTCGTTGAAATCCAGGCTTGAATAGCCTTTCCGGTGGCAGACGAACCCCATAGGAAACAAAACTGCAGCAGATTTTCCTGTCGAAGGTGCGGTTTATCCGACATTTTGCGGCTGCGCCGTGGCATTTAAGCGGCCACCGTCTACCGCATTTCTGAGCGCGGGTCAGGTCAGGTGTAGCACCCTTCATAATTCCGCTAAGCCTTCGGCATTATCGGATAATTCTTTTCTGCTCTCGCATTTTTTCCTCCTCCCACGGTTCGTCTTCTCCTTCCCCCTACTCGTCCTCTTGCTCACCGCCCGCCGTCACCTCTTCCGTAATTCAATCCCTGCCCTCTCCCTCTTCTTCTTCTACATTTCCGTCTCTCAATATCTCGCTCGAACGCGGTTGCTTTTATTTAAAATGAATTTGCATAATGGCGAAGTGTGAAAATCCGTTTTCTCCACGGGGACGATCGCGAGAGTCACGGAGAAGTAGGTAATTTTGCATAGAAAAAGGCGGATTAGATCGTAACGAGGAAAACTGAGTTGCAAGCTTCCGCACGTAAGTATCTTCCCGGAAGGAATTCCAATGCCAGAAAAATATTGAACGTTTCCCGCGAAACCTCAGGATACGTTGCTTTGTAATAAGCATCGAGTTACTCGCGCAAACGCTACTAAACTCGACGAAAGTTTCATTTGATTCGCAATTCTTGATTCAAATAAGGACTTTTCTCGTATTCCTGCCGAAGAAAAATCCTTTCCAAATTGGTCAAGAAAATTGTCGCCGACACATCTGAATGTTCCGGGACACTAATATCAACACGCTCAGTGTATTGTTACTGACCCTAGAAAGAAGAGGTAACATGCAAACTAAAACAACCGTGTAAAAACAATTTGAACGACACGAAAAAGAAATCTTCTCGCGTAAAGTCGACGTAACGCAGAATGCGTAAGAAATCCAAACTCGTTGAAATTGCAGCGCTTCCAATTTCCTTGATCGCGCAGGGTGCAATCCAGAATACCAGCATTTCTTCTTTTATTTTTCTCTTCCTTTTTTTCTTTCTTGCGCGCGCTAATGAAATATAAATATCGACGATAAATACATAACGCATCCTTCGGTAGGAGGGATCGTGTTGGAATGAAGGGGGAGTTAGAGCGAGAAATCGCGAATTGGAGGTAGGTAAGATCGTACAAAAGTAGCGAAGCGAAGAATTCTCTCGGGGGAACTCCGTGCAGCTACCGGATAAAAGAAAGGGAAGTCGAGGCAAGTTACTGCCTGCGAGCCTTTAGATGAGAGTCGAGAAGACGAAGAAAAAAAAGGGTCGAGGAAGAGAAAGGAGGGTGATCCGGTCGGCGGTGGTAGCGGTGGCGGCGGCGGCAGCAGCGGCGGCGGCAGCGGCGGCGGCCCACCGGGTTGTTTCTGATTCGTAATTAGAGATGAGTGAGGCCAGGAAGAGGCCAAAGAATACATTTCTCTCCAAGCGAGTAATAGCTAACGGTACGATGCAAGCCAACCGGAAGAATAACTGAGTTCCCATTTTCCTCGTTCTATCTTTTTCTCTTCTTCTTTTCTTTATTCCTTTCTCCTCTTTGCCTTCTGTTTCACTCGCTCTCTCGTCCATCAGACCTATCTGTTTCCTCGTCTCTATTTCTTCCTCGCCTCATACCTCTTGGAAGAAGGGAAGGAGAGATTTTTTGTAGCAATCTTTTTGCAATGAGGTAACGACAGATTCTCGCCGTGAAGCCCTTAATTGTGCATTGACCTGTCCTGGCTACCGTGATAGTGAAGAAACTCATTTTTTTTTACCCCTGCATTGCGAGACAGCACCGAGAACGCGCAAATGTTACATACCATGTTTTCTACAAAGTGTTGAGATCCCATTTTTAATGTCGATACGTCTTCTGAGAGAATTTAGCCATCTATGTATTTGAAAGAAAATTTGATTACATTTATATATGATAATAACGTATTGCAAATCTCTTTGAAATTGAGCGACATTTGTCTTAAGAGGACGCCAAAGTGAATGACAAGCTCTAAAAATATCAATAATGTAGAAGCGTTTGTCAAACTATATGTCACAAAACGATTACATTATTTTTCTCGTATTTTACATATAGATCTTCTACATATAGATCTTATATATATGTATGCTACTTGGTTTCATCATATTTAGCAGAAGATCTGACTAAGCATGCATAGAAATCTTTGTGCAAACTTTTCGTATATTTTTAAGCTTCTAAACTCAATTGTAAAGGTGTAACAATATTCTTTGAAATTTTTCTGAACACAAACGCATATTCTGTATGTACAAGCTACAGAACTTTTATATCAGACAAATATTTGCGCTAAATAAGCTCGAGATATCAAATTCTTTTATTATTTTCACATATTGCTTCATCACATATTGTTTTATTTCATTTTTATGCTTACTTTCAGTGTATAAAAACATTTGTAATCCTATGCAACCAATACGACGTTAACATTACAGAAAAAAGTAAATGTCGATTTTCAATTATGGCATCTCCTCAAAAACAATAACAAGCGCAATGATATTTAACATTATTTATTTTTAAACGAATTATTAATCTTAATGAGTGTTATAACTGTTTCGAAAATTCTGATTGCTTTTTTGCCCCTAATCTCCATGAAATATTGTCTAATTTCAGACTCAGCGACGGGTGTAATGACGACCGGGATGTTACTACTGATTGCTCTGGCCGTAATGATAATTCGATAAACGGGACACGAGTCTTCGCTTGGTTGATACGCCATTGGTGAATTTCCTTAATTAACGAACTCAATTTAAACAATTAGACCTTACGGGAGACAGATACACACATGTACACGCGTACACATAACATATAACGAACACATACCTACGCTCATACATACGCACACTCACGCACATACGTACTCGTGCACACGCATAAATATATACAAGTGACACAAAGACTGAACGAGTAGTTAGCGTCGTATTAAATGACGGTGAATAATTTACGCGTGCCAAGTTTAGTGTAGCGACAACAAGTCTACGAGAAGCCAAGAATTAAAGCAGCACGAACCCCCCATCGATCCTTCGCTCGGAAATTGTGTGTGGTGAGATGACTCAGACGGGGACGTGGGACGGGGGCGCAGCGGAGAAGGAGAAACAACGAGAATGAAAAATGGATAATTGACAAAGTGCAACGACTATCGCTTTCAGTGTAATATATTGTAAAACGCCGTAAAAAGCTGACGTCGACTACAATACCAGTGATCTCGTCTCTGCGGGTGCGATTTAAGACGTGTGAAAGTGAGTCGTTACGTTTTCTAACTCCGACACACCGCGGGAGTCACTCTGGTAATTCTGGTGTGTGTATCCCGAAAATATCAAAACAAAAATACTCGAGCTTAATAATGGATTAAAGTTTGACCGAGCCAAATAGTTTTCGCTCTTTTTTATATTTATACCATTTTGAGATATTTTTTCCATTTTTTTTCTTTTTTTCATTGGTATGATTGATGAGCACAAGGTTTTTCGATTCGGCAACGCAAACAGTTGATTCAATTTGGAGGTTTGTCGTAGCTCGATGAGAATTACGAGAATGAATCGCACTTTGAGCAAAATTAATTTTCTATAAAACTTCGAGCATTAAATTCTACCTACGTAGACACGAATCTCAATTTCATTTGCATTCTTAAATAATGGCGAATTTTTTCTTTATCAAAATGTAAGGAAATCGGCAAATATGGCACCTCAAATATGTATCATCTCCAATGTCAATTTCAATGTTTTGTTCTTTATTTATTTTCTTTTTTCTTAGTTCGATTAGATTAGTAATCTTGGTTTGTAGACAATAGTGCTGTTTCTAATCTGCCAAGTGATGTAACTCGTCCGACTCTCTTCCTTCGTATCTCTCTGCCTTCTTGCGTACGAAATCGTGGATCCAATCTCGATACTTGAGATTAAAACGTCAGATTCGGTCTAGAGAGAAGTTGCTCCCCGTTCGAAGAGGTGCTCGAAAGAAGAACCGAAAGAGAGGGAAAGGGAAAATGGAGAATTCGCGACGGGGGACGAAACGGAGATATGTCACAACCAGAAGAAGCGTCAAATATTATGTCGTTGCAAATGTAATAATCTATTTTAATAGTTTACAAGCAAAAGTGAAAAATCGACTATCACTCGCGATGATTTGATACAAATGTTGCAAATGTTGTCGCAAATGTTCAAATCAAAATCTTTTTTAACCTCAATATTTTATTTAATGTTTGCTTTGATACTTTGAAACTTATGTCTTTTGATTCCGTTTGATCTACAGTTTTGCCTAGAAGTAGTCTTTAGAACTTACAAGTAATAATTTGTGAGTTTTCTATCATTTAGATCTGCTGTTTCCATGTGTATTAAGCATACACTGATTCAGAGTATATAGATATTAAAAAGTTCAGGTCGAAAGTAATGCTAAAAGGAGAATGTTAAAGATAGGCTATTTTTTAAATCTTAACTAATTATAGGCTATTTTTTTAACCTTAATTAATTATTGGAAACTGTTTCCAAGATCTTCTAAAAACAGAAAATAATAATTATTTACGCATGAGAATCTGACTTATTGGTTCACATAATATATACGTGTTTGCAAAGGTATATAGGGATAATTATGATGTGTGATGGATATATAGCATATGTGTGTGTGTTGTGTGCTGATAACTTCTCTAACGATCTCTCTCTGATTTTTTCCTTCCTTTCTTTTCCTCCTCAAATCTATCTCCAGCAAAAATTTTGTGATAAGGATTAAAAAATGTAAATAGAAAATTCTTCCTTTTAGATTTCTCTACATGTAAAACATATAAACCTTGTGTAAGCCAAAAAACTAACTTCTCTACATTTACTACTTCCCTTTCAAGACATAAATGTGCAATTTATTTTATTTTAAAAATATACTAGGAATACAAAACTTAAAGAAATACTTTATATAATTGCTTCAACAATTGATAACAATTTCGTTTTTCATAATTTTCCAGGCCAAGTGGACAAATAGTTGTTATTTTCTATTTCCACATTACAAAGTATGTTATTTTGGTTGAATCTCTTTTTACATTTTTTACCGTTTTTTTTTACTGTTTTTTATCGTTCTTCTTACCATTTTAATTCACATCATTTAACATGTCGTTTAAACGTATTAAATTACAATTTAACGTCTTACACGTTAAATTACACGTTTACACGACAATTTACACGTCTTAACTCCTTCCCTGTCAGTGACGCATATACGCGCAAAAAAAAAGTTGTGCCACTTTTGCTCCATGACGCACATAAAAAAAATATGTTCAATTTCATTTGGTTTAATTGTGCATGGATTTTCGAAGATTCTTGGGGACGCTGAATTTGAATCTGAAATCAGATTTTAAAAATTTAAAATGGCGGATTCAATATGGCGGCAAAATTCGAGACTTTCTTAGAATTTTCTGGAAATGGTAATCTATATGTTATTTGTATGTTTTCAGAGTTACTGGATTCAAATCTGAAGTCAGATTTTTCAAATTCAAAATGGCGGATCCAATATGGCGATCAAAAGTGTGGAAAAAATTTTGGGATTTTACAAAAGTGACATAATGCTTTTTTACAATGTTGAGTTCAAATCTGACTTCAGATTTGAATCTAGTAATCCTGAAAATAGATATAGATTACCACGTTCACAAAATTCCAAGAAAATCTCGAATTTTGATCCGTTATATTAGATCCGCAATTTTGAACTTTTAAAATCTGATTTCAGATTCATATTCAACGTTCCCAAAAACTCTAATTTTGTTCCTCATGTCATTCTGAAGATTTTCATTTTTCGAAACATTTTTAGCACGAAAATGTAATTTTCGTCTGACAGCGAAGGGGTTAAACATGTATTAAATTACATAATTTATACCACAAGGAACGAGCTTCAGCCAAATTGCACGCTTATGTGTTTAAAAATAACACATCTAGATTTGCAACGTAGAAGATCCCAGGATTTCAGGTCTCAAATAATTAGTTAAGATTCCATTAGCGAGCCAAAAAAGTGACCTATTTTTATCATTCTCCTTTTAGCTCAGGTGTCTCCGAATCAATTCGGCGGCACTGCACCGTCGCTTCGCTACACTGGTGTTTCGAAAGTGCCACAGTCCCTTTTGCGCATCGTATCGTGTAGAAACGCAAACGTAACGTTTCCGCATTCTACAAAGTGCATCTCGCGTCTCACGGGCTCGTATATTCCCTCATTTCGTTATTTAACGTGCTTTACTTGGTTACATCCTAGCGATTTTTGCATCGCGAAAGCGCTAAGTAAAAAATATTTCTCCTTTGTATAAATACCTCCGCGCTCTTACACATGGACCTTTTTTTGTAAACGAATACCAATTACGCGGAGAAAACAACTATTTCCGGCAAGCTTCTGTCTTGCATCGAAGGAACAGAGACTCAAGCTCACGGTCTTGTAAAGAAGAACGCGAACGATTCCATCCGGCGCAATACGATGCTCCGGCAGTACCATATTATTTAACTACCGGAGTTTTTAGTAGCAGTAAGCCGTTTGTGAAAACAAAGAAAAATCCCGCTCTCTCATTTCGTGAGGATGAATTTTCATACGACTACGTGTTCGCGCACTGGCGTTATTTGCGATTAAAGTGACGTCTGCGTGCATTCATAACAAGCGCGGAAATTTTCCAGTTATAAAACTGCTCGTGTATGCAGAGGTAGTCCGGGGAGCGAAATGATCGCTAGATAAATATATTAAGACTTGACAAACGTATCGAGGCCTGTTCCGCGCCGTTACCGCGATCAATTTATATTTACGCGTTAATTGATAAAATTGGGATTTATTCGCGGACGCGGCCTGCAAAAATCTGCCTCCGCCATGCCGGTTTTAAGCGGCCTCCGAACTACTTAGGAATATCCATTATTCAGCGTACATCTTGTTTAAAGCAACAGGTTCGAGAGTCTCTGCACTCGCGCGCAAAAGGAGTTAATGCTTGCGACGGATTAAAGAAGGGAACGGTCGACTCAGGGATTACGCGGACTTACTCTGATGAGGTCTGTAATCGTATCATTCGCGAGACTACCTACAGTCTTCTAACTTTAAAAGTCATAAGCATTTAACATAAGGGGATTGCGCGCTTTTGGAGCATCGTGATTGTCGGAGCGATGCAATCTGCAAATCTTATTGCGACGAATCCGAATCCTGATCCGGTTCTCAACGTTGTTAAGGGACAATTTCTCTCTCGGGACTGCCGCTTAAAACATTTATTTGCATTTGCATAATGTCGATTGAACGATTGCCATTTTCTTGTTTTTCTCAAAATTCTTTATAATCGCGTTACACTATCACGCATAACTTACGACGCAATATTATGCAGAAGTCTGTAGCAAATACCTAAACAGAGATCTACATGACTTTGATCGTGTTTCACGGCATTAATATTCCAATTAATTTTGAGTGAGACGAAGAAAGAAAGGAGAATATATTGAGGCACTTGGCGTCAATTATATAATCACTCTTTCTGGATATATTATTATTAATTGTACTTTTTATAAGACTATTAAGTACAATCTTTTCTCCCTAATCGATAATTATTTGTTTACCACTTCTACATAATTGTCTAAAAAAAAAAGAAAGTACGAACGCTCTAGGAATCTGTTTTGAATTTACAAACGAACGAATGCGTCTAACGTGGCGCGTGATGTCATTGATCTCGAATCATTGACACCTCTCTCAATCAGAAGAAAAAGAATCAAGATAATCGTCATAAACAAGTATTTGATATACTCATGAAATTTTCATGTGCTCAGAATGGAGAGCGCAGCAAATCTTTTTTACGAAGCATGACTAGATGACCGTTATTTAGATGACACTTAAGTATTGTTTTGACGCAAAATTATAACGAGCTTAGCCAATCGATGGCATAAAGCACGTACATACATACAGTCTCGCATAAGATGTACAAATATGTAGCTCCGAAGGAATCTTTCAACACATCAAACAATTTCTCCCACAAAAGATCGGCAATAAAAACGATACAATAAAAATTCGTTATCCCCTTCGGTCATAACTAAAGGCTCGAAAGACGTTGGTCTACCGAGAATCGACCTCTTGCCTATAACGCAAATAGAGTTCGTGTAGCACATGTGTATGTATGTATGTGTATACGCGTGTATGTAATACGTGTAGCAAGTGTAGTACGTAAAGCAAGAATGACCTTTTTTCGTGTTAACCATCCGCAATGCCATTTTCCATTAGCATCGTTAGCTGCGACATATTCCCCTCCTAATTTATAATATCCCCGGTTGTGTAACATTTATTCAAAAGTAAAACACGCGATCAAATGTGCAAACGCAAATATACGTGGGTCGTAAAAAAGACTACGTGACCTACAGAAATGCGGATTTGACCAAATTTTTATTACCGTATTTAGAGCCATTCTTTATTAGGTTAAGTATGACAGTATGTGATCTGTCGATTAGTCTTTGTTTGACAATGCGCCAAAGTAAACACCTTAAATGTCTCTATACGTTCATTATATCCTCTTATTTTTCGAGTGAAGTAGTAAACTCAAGTCTCATCAACGATCATAAACCCCTGTTAAAAGTCCTTCAGATTGCGGCGAAGATTGCATGCTAAGAGTTGCGTGAAACTTCAATTGTCTTTGCTGGTGTGAGCAAACGTAAGACTAATCGTTTGCAGAATACTTTAGCGTACTGTTAAACAAAGACTAATCGACAAATTATTCTATGCTTTATATTGTTATACTTAACTTTTCGATTTTCATGTTAATTTCCCAAACATAAATTCCTAAGTAGGGTGACTTGCTTCTTGTAAATAAGTTATATCTTTTTGAAAATTATATATAATATGCATTTATTTGTCTCAAACGAAAGCTTATAACATAAAAATCAATTAGAAAAATCCACAAAAATTATTAACTTTTCTGGTAGAATTATTCTAAAATAATTATTTATAGGGCAAGCAACTCATCCAAGCAACTCATTTAGAAGTCAAAAGGTTAATAACTTTTAAGTTATTTGTATAATTGTGCGATAACAAGTATGGTACAAGAATTATAATAAAAAACTTGTTTCTTTATCATAATTATAATTTTATATTTTAATATATTCTATATGAATATGAATAAAAATAAATGGCATGTTATATTTACGCATTTATATGTTTATGTACTAAAATAATTTTTAAAATCATAAACATTTTACTATTATACGGAAAATTTTTTGAGACCAACCGCTTACCTTATTTAGGAATTTATGTTTAGGAAATCAGCATGAAAGTCGAAAAGCTAATTAAAATGTATATATTCATAATTTATTTGTTATGAGTTAGAAGTACATAATATGTGTTTTTGATCAAATATTTAGATTGTAATACGATTCTATATTATTAATTAATATTAATATTGTTATATAAAACAAACAATATATCTGTGACTTAAATTCTCAAGAGGAGTGAATAGCTTGCCCTGAATAAATATGTTATATATTCTTGAAAATTGCATATATTATGCGTTTATTTTTTTCAAACAAAAGTTTATAACTTAAAACAATTAAAAAAATCCACAAAAACTATCAAAATTTTCTGACAGAATTATTTTAAGGAAACCATTTATAGGGCGAACAGCTCGCGCCGCTTGAAAGTCGAAAGGTTATTTTGAAAAGGGATAATTCTGAGATACAGTAATAAAGATTTGACCAAACTCGTGCATTATCTCTGTCAGTTATCAGGCCACACACTTTTTCAACGATTCATGTATTCTGCACATAGTTAGATGTTCGTTGCAAGTTAACAAGTATGTCGATAGCTTGAGTGATCCAATATGGTCTGTTTCTATCTAACAAGGAAACATCACGAACCTGAACGCTTCGATTTGGATAAACTTTTGTAGACTAACAAGCCTTGAACATCGATATACTTTAAGAAAGCCTTATCGCTCTATTTAAAGATAAGATTTTTCACCTCAAAGCCAGAAAGACGCTTCCGTTTTCTCGCATATATCTCTTAAGACTCCTAATCCCTCGCCATGAAACTCTTGATTTATAACATCAGAAACGAGAAAATACACGCAAAAATTTCTACAAAATATATTGAAATAAAAAAATACGCTCATAAACATGACACTTGCAATCGATCGGGCACATCATAAAATAGTCCAAATATTTTTCTTTTGATCTAATAAGCAATAAATTAATGTAAAATTAACGTGATATGTAACCTACCTTTTTAACCTATGTTTTTTCAATTACATTAATTTCGCGATTATTTATAAAACAAAAGGAAGTTTGAACTTTTTTACAGTATCTACTCAATCAAGTATTATTTTGTGAAGCATCTTTTTATTTCAACGTATTTTTTTTATTTTGACATGTAATTTCTCGCTTCCGACGTTATAAAGATGGCCACGGTGAAAAAATAGAACCTTTAAACTACAAAAGATATAGAAAAGTATTTGACTTTTGTATTTAGAAAAATTTAATTAGATCATTTTTCAAATCGCGTATTGCATACTATATAATTTTAATATTAACATGTATTCACCAAACAATATTATAAAATCACAATCCTTTGCATATAACTAATTATTTCCCCCGAGCTTTGGACAATTATTTAAATATGCGTAGTAAATTTTTGTTTTATTTATCGTGTAATGGAAAGTTTTCCTAATAAAACTTACACTTATTTATTAATTAATTTACTAATAACATAAGAAAAATTATTTTTCTAAAAATAACTTTTTATTTCATTTTATAGTCTTTAACTTATCATTAAACTTTTATTATAAACATTTTTTTATATTTCTTGTAGTTATGCGTGAAAAAGTGGAAGCGCTTTTTTGGCCTTGAAGCCAAAGTCGTATATTTAAAGAGCGATAGAACACGAATAAAATACACCGTTCTTTACACCTTACGCTTTACTTACACTCACTTTCACGTACTTTTCACGCACTTTATTTACATTCACAAAAATCAATCCAAATCGAAGAGTTCGATTTTGCGGCGTTTCCTTGCAAGATTCAGGAGAGAATTCTTATATATTTTGAGAAAAAAACAGATAATTTTATAATAAGTAAAATTGAAAAATGTGACAGTTTGCGAATATGACGTAAAACTTTCGATTGACTTAAGTAATTACAAGTAGTCACAATGCCAAATTTTTATTAGTCATATTGAACTCAAATTAATTCCTATTTTCTTTTTAAAAAAAACATTGATATGTATATACGTGTGTGTGTACGTGATATATGCAAAAATGTGCGCGTGCATAATAAATGTGTGAGTGTAAATTAACAAAACTATATTAAATTAACAAACGTATTGCATAACACCCAACAGCACATTTTTTAAAGGGCAAAAGCTCTCTCTTGTTTCTTTTTATTCAAGTATTCCACATGAGTATAATAATTGTAAGGTATATTCGTGCACATGCCCTTCATTGCATCCACCTTGCACACGTTATGAATACATATTCAGTATTTAGATATTAGAACTGGATATAGGTGGAAATGACGGAGAAGAATCATTATCTTATGTGCATTTAACATAGCCTAACTAGATCAGATTGATCTGTCCTCGTGAAACAAATTTTTGTTTTAAGAACTGAGCAGAAGTGATTGCGATAATAACATAAAATATTTATACAATTTATATATCAGTATCCTAAATATACCAATTAAAAAGCACAATATCAAATTTAGTGGCAAACACTCGCCAATTATTGCAGAAGTACTCGAACGATCGGTCTAAAGATGCTCCGACGTTGGTTCGCCGCTGGTGAATCCTGCGAAGGTAATTATTGTTAATTAAATTCATAGCGTACTGAGAAGTAGCTATTAGACCATATTGGGTCCTGTACTATATTAGATACAGCTACCTCATAATTTACGAAAATACCCGAATTCCACAGGTCTGCAAAATTTAAAAACTTAATGCGTTTTGGAATTGAAAGGCTATTTCCTACGTAATTTAGTCCGCTGAATACGAATCTGGCCTTAGAATTTCTTTATCACGTCAGATTTACAAGATAATTAGGTTTAATTAGCTAAAAAATACCGATTTTCACTATATTCAATCGATTATTACTAACAAAATAATTTTTTTTCAATAAATTCGCAAACGGCATTTTGATGTACTATTCTTCCCCTTTAAAATCATGTAAGATTTTTTATTTTATGATTATTTTTGATGGAGATACTGAAGTTTGATGGAGATACTGATATTGAAGTCTATGAGACTCAAAACACATTATAAACATTATGTAACAGTCTATTTTTCTAGCATGACTTGAATTGATAAATTTATTATTATGAAAACTATGAAAAATTAAAACCAATAAAATATAGTATTTTATAGTACACAGTGAGAAAAAGTGAAAGCACAAAGATAGAATTCTTTAGAAGTTATTTTTATAATACTATATACCAACTAAACATCATTGTTCACATGGTGAAAATTTTCTAGGAAATTTTACTGTCATTTTTTTAATCAAACTTCCAATGTTTTTACGTTGAATTTGCGGATAATAATAATTTCAGTATGTCCTTCAGAGAGAAAGAAAATGACAGTAAAATATCCAAGAAAATTTTCTTCGCAACATTTTATATCTCCGTTAAAAATAATCGTAAAATAAAAAATCTTATATGATTTTAAAAAGGAAGAATAGTACATTAAAATGTCGTTTGTGAATTTGTTGAAAAAAAATTACTTTGTTAGCAATAATCGGTTGAATATAGTCAAAATCGGCACTTTTTGGCTATTTAAATCTAATTATCTCGAAAATCTGACGTGATAGAGAAATTCTAAGGCCGAATTCGTACTCAACGGGCAAAATTACGTAGGAAATTACCTTTGAAATCCAAAACGCAAAATCATGCAGACCTGCATGACCTGCAGACCAGTTCTTATCACAGTAGGACTATGCTACCACAGTCTACGATGATAATCGCTTAATTGAATTTGAGTGCTTCGGTGACTAAGGGAAAATGGTGACGCAGAGTATATTCGAACGATCGGTCTAAGAATGCTCGAACGTTGACTCGTCACTGGCGAATTCTGTGAAAGTAATGATTTACAAAAATGTACACTGCCCGAATGATCTTGATCTTGAGAACACATTACAGAGGGTACATCGGGTGGTAATCCGCGCTTTTTAAATGGCAACCGTGTCACCAGTCACTGCTACCAGTCACTTTTGCGTCTGCAAAGATCTATGATACAATAAGTCTCAAGATTAAGATGATCCACGCGAGATAGAAGTCTTTGTAAATGATTACCCTTGTAAATACGAATACACAAGTGATAAGAAACACATGTAGAGTAAGCTTCGCAACGTACGATATAATAAGTACTGCAGTACGGCGTATCACACTCGTATCCCATTTTTCCGTTTCGCGTTACCCGCATTTGAGTTCCCTCGTACGCCATCGTTTCCTCGCACAGAAAAACGCGCGGATGAATAAATCTTAGCGAAAGATATTTTGACCGTAGTCCAAAATAATGCGGATCGACGTGACAAAAATCGCCGTCTAGCGTTGTAAGTGCGTATGATGAGTGTTAAACGCGAAGGTATACATGTATACATAACGCAAAAAAATTATAAATATGAAAATACAAATATATAAATATAAATAATACAAATTACGGGGATCTATTAAGTATATATAAATATATATATGTTATATAATATATCATTATAATATTATGCTTTGCGTCGTTGAGTTGAATGTTGTTATTTATAAGAAAATCGAAAAACGAGAGATTCTTATGAATATGCTCGACATATGTAATAAAACAAGGGTTACGTAAGAACTCTATAAGAACTGCATTTTTCTTCTTGACCAGTGTCCTGTCTCATTAAAACTTTTCGTTGTTTAATAAATCAGAATTCCTTGAACTTTCCCAGAAAACAGCAGTATATTCAAAAATTTGACAGAATATTATTGAAATATGTTGTGCTATCTAGAATACTTCCTGATAAATATTTCATATCAACATAAGTACACTAAAAAAATGATCAGCTAAAACAGGCCAAGCTTCTGAGTTGAGCAGATTTAGTTGTAATAGCTGCAATTGTAACAAGTGCAACTTGAAATTTAATAAAAATTCCGTTCAACAAGTTAATATAATCTCAATTAAAATTTTAATTTAAAAATGTAGT